TTTTAGTTCAAAATCTTATCTCATAATATATCACAATGCAGTGTATAAAGTGTCAGATAGTGCTTTTATAATCATTTTAGGTAACAACTTTCTGTCAGGTTTATAACGCTTCAGACATCTAGTTCCTGTCACCACAGTGAAGAGTTCTAACTTTGTAAGTTTCCAAAAAAATGGAGCATTTCACATCAAACCACCCTAACTGACTTTGTATCTTTATATTTGAAACATTCAGTTATGCAGAAAAACAGAGAAATTGGTGGGATTGCCTTCTTGAGTCTACCTTCTGCAGATATGCGCAGTATTAAAAACACAGTTATTTCCAGCATTTTATGAATGCATTGTATATAATTATGTGTATGAAATTACTGCTAGTAGTGTTAGCATGGTGTGGAGTAATAGAAAGAACACATCTCTACAGCTTTGAGGGCAGAAGCAAATGCACTGATAGGCTAATGCCCATTGACACTGGGCACTCTATTTGCTAAAGTGCCAAGGGGCAGGCACAGCAGGCAGGCCGCACAACTTGGTCAATATTGTGTCATGTTTGGTCAAAGCATGCAGAGGCAGTTGGTTGGAAATGAAGATGTAAATATTGATATTTCATTAGAGGGGGGAATCACCCGCTCCTCAAAGCACTTCAGCAAGGCTGCGCAGCAGCAGCGGTGTGGCCTGAGCACCATTTGACCTGGGGAGCCGGGAAGTCACTTCATTACTCGATTAAATTGAGTGGAAAAAAGCGAAGGGGAAAAACACAAGATCCCATTTGGAGTGATAATTCAGCACTGCAAAGGGAGAGAGTAGAAGAGAGAGAGAGAGAGAGAGACAGAGAGAGAGGGTGGACAGCACAGAACGTTCCGCATTTTTCCATCTCACAACAACCCGCAGCAGACGATTAAGCGGCAGCCCTTTTAGTGCCAAGTGTGATGGGTGTTGAGAGTGTGAGGTTGTATGCTGCTCGGGGGATGTTTCTGCATGTCCTGTGTGCATGTTGAACATGTGCCTCGCCCCTGAACGTCCTGCCAGGTCCGAGGGGAGCTGTGATCTCTTCTGGTAGCCTAAGCCCTGCCTGTGATTGTCATGCAAAGTTCATGCGCTGATCAATCTGTGTTGAATATGCATATGCACCGCAATTAAACTCCTGACAGGCTGGGCTGAGTTCAGTCACCTGCAGATCTCAGATATAATGCATTATAACAATGCGGACAACAATTGATCAGTAAATGTTCAGTAGAAATAAATCAAGAGGTTTTAAATGTTTAATTTACTCAATTACTTATTAAATTTGATTATGCAATTTAAAAAACAATTAAAACTTAACTTCTTGAATCGGTAATGATTATTTGACATGATTCGCAGTATAATAATGCCTATTTTAAATTATCCTACTGTACAGAACTGTAGTCTGAAGTCTGATGTATTTGTCCATTTATATTTCTATATTTACTTTTTAAAAGAATCGTTTATCTTTTTACAATCATGTATTTTGGACTTTTTAAAGGCTATGCTTGTATTTTATTGTTTGGATAACTACCGTTTAAAAGTTTCAAATAACTGTTTTCGACAATATAAAACAGATTTTTATGCAGATACACATATAGAATTACTCTGCTCTGATAAACAATTTGTAGAATGCTATAAAAATTAAAAAATGTAATACTTAAGAAATGAGAATAAATATATAATAAACATATGATAAACTTACAATAAGCATATAATAAACTTAGAATAAAGTCAGTAGCCATAATTCCTCAAATTGGCAAAGTAGTGACTGAATCTCACTGATATATTAGCTATTAATAGTAATTTTGTGACAGAAAACATGGATAATTACAGATTATTATTTAATAACACTTACTTTTTTACCATTTCATAACTTCTTGTTGTTCCCAAAATACATTACAATACAAATAAACCATCAGTTCATGTTTTAGTGTCTAGTTTATAACATTTCAGTCTACAGTTGTTAATGTGGGAAGTGATTCCAAACTTTTGAGTGGTAGTGTATTTTTATTGTTTGCCTTTTTTTACTCATTAAATCAGTGGTAGATTGCTCTATTACTTATATATTCGGTACTGACTGCTGTAGTTTGATGGTTAGTCTTGAGTTTGCTGCTCGGATTTGTGTGTAGATTTGTTTGTTGGGGTGCCGTCCTGGCCTTCTTCCGTTTCTTTTCTCTCTGCCACCTCCACTCTGGCCCTATTGATTCCCTTTCACATTGTGAGGGGCCCTGCAGCTCCGATCACAATCTGTTAATTAATGTATCCCCCAGCACGCGCAGCCAGTGTTCGCCCCTCTGATAAGGGAAATTAAACACTCAGGTACCCCCTTTTTTTTTCCTTTGCCTCTTCTTCCCTCTCATTCTCTTTCTCTCTCCTATCCTGTCTCTCACTCTCTCTCTCTCTCCCCCCCTGCAAACACTCCAGAGTGTCACGCGGTAAGCAGATAAACATCAACCCTTCGACTCTTCCTCAATGAGATCATTTATATGAAAGAGGGAAAACATTGGAGGCAGGTATGGTGCGTGACCCAGTCAATACTGTAATCTATCACCTCCCTAATCACGAGGGGGCAGATAGGATTGCAACGGTAAACTTGTAAAAGCAATCATTTTAATCATCAGAGCCTGCGAGGGGGGCTAATATACTGTCAAAATGGAGGCCTCCGGCACGCACAGAGTGAGGGGAAAGACGGAAGCGGGGGGGGGGTCGTGAGCCTGGCAGTGGGATGTGAAGAGTTTATCGACAGCTGAGAGCGGAGGAAAAAAAAGGATGAGATGGTTATCAGCGCATCCCCATGACACACTGTGTCTTCGGCCGCTTTCAAATCACTTACCTCGCCGGGCCGTAGTGATTTGCCTCACCCAGTCATTGTTGTGAAATTTTTTAAAACCGCAGCACACTTCATTATGCTGCAGCTGAGGCTGTGATTTGTGTGTAAGTGACCGCTCATCAGGCAGCTAATTCCTGTCCAGCCAGCTCCACTTGTGTTACACAAAGGCCAAAGAGAGGTCCGGGGCTCAGGACTTGGTGTGCCTTCTTTGACCCTTCTAGATCTTCTTACTCGTATGCTATCTCCTCCTGTCAGTGTACAGCTCCCCGGCATAATCTGAAAATAAGAACTGATCTCAGCCTTGAATGTGCAAAACAGAATGGCACATGACAAAGTACTAATATACTTTTCCTGAGAGGGGAACAGTCGAGCAACGTAAAGGAGACTCTTGTCATTAACGTCTGCTTGAATCGTGCTTACTTCATGTGTAAGTTGCTAAAAGCATCGGAAGAATAAATGTAAATGCAAATGATAAATCAAGCAATTTAGTTTCTTGACCTCCTTTAACACTTAGAAGTTTACAGTTATTATTGATATTTTGCTGTACTATCTAATACTATCTAAGTGTAATTACATGGTTAATTACATAGTTATTACATGATATGATACATTTGATTTAATTCTTTGAAGGGTCCATATTCTTGTGTATATTTTCCAGCAAGGTCCACTTATGATCATGTGGTTTTATGTACCAAAAACTGTTCATTTTCCATGGCCATTTTCCAACCTTACTTTATCCCTTTTGTTGATTTTCTAAATGAAAATAAGTTAACACATCCTCTTCAGAGAACAAAACTTATGTCACATATCACACTTTTTTCTGCAAATTTTGGTGTTTAAATTCAGCAAATTAACAGTAATTGAGAAGTGAGTTCTCTGTAGAGGATGTGTAAATTTAATATCACTTGGAAATTCAACAAAACATGTAATTTGACCAGGGGCACACAAACTTTTGCATACTACTGTGTATGTAAATGCACTCTGTTGTGATTGGCTGCTTACTGTACTGCATTCAAAAAGCAGACCATGCTGAAACACTGCCTATAACATCAGTGTGAAAGGCCTGAGCAGACTACTGTACACTGAAAGACAAGTATCAGAATCAGAATCACTTTATTTTGCCAAGTATGTTACACATACAGGAGTTTGTCTTGATGAGTGCACACATGTATGACATGTAACATAATTAACAGACCAAACAGCACATAGACTTTTAACAAGTACTGAGCTAAGGGAAAAGTAAAATAACATACAATAAATAGAATAAAGAGTCCATCCATCCATCATCTAAACCGCTTATCCTTCTGGGTCACGGTGGGGTGCTGGAGCCTATCCCAGCTGTCATTGGGCGGAAGGCAGGATACACCCTGGACAGGTCGCCAGTCCATCGCAGGGCAAGAGAATAAAGAGTCCTACGAGAATAAAGAGTGATAATAAAAAACAGCCAATGTGACATGTGCTACAAAATAGACTACAAAAACTATTATATACAGAATATTACAGAGTAATATGAACATTTGTAAAAATTTACTTATACAAATAAGCATTATGCTACAGGAGGAGTTATACTGTAATACTGTAAAGAAGGTCTGTTGGTTCAGTTTAAATGTATTGGTTTGCATGGCATCACAAAAACAGTGTTTCAAAAAAGTACAAAACATAGTTTTTTAAATGATCCCTTCAAGTGTTCATGCCTGCATGTCTGCATTTTTTCCATTTTTTGATGTCAGACAGTGACAAAAACATGTTAAAATGGAAAAGGATGGTTTAAGCATGATTAAGCAAAAGTAGACATGAAGCCTACATTTTAATGTTCATCTTAAGTGAAGTCATTCAACTAAAAATAGCTCAATTTAATGTGTGTTATTCTTTAAAGAAAAAAATATCAGATCTGTATCGGCTGATACTGAAGGTTCAGTGTCAATATCGTAAGAGAAGAAGTGGCATCATGACTTTTTTTTGCAGTACACAAACAATAACTTTTCATCAAACTGATCCAAAAATATTTGCTCTTATACTTATGAACACAACTTTGGAGAAGGTTTGAAAATTGTGTGACAGTTGCTTCAGTGAACTACAAATGAGAGATAATTAATATGAAATTACACTATGCTTTTTATGTCCGGTGTTAAGGTTAAACATCATCATCTCTCTTTGCTTTGTGCCTCAGGCTTCTCCAGCTTGTCTCTGGGAGATCAGATGAGTCTACTGCAGAGCGCCTGGATGGAGATTCTGATCCTGAGCATCGTGTTCCGCTCGCTGCCCTACGAAGACGAGTTGGTGTACGCAGAGGACTACGTGATGGACGAGGAGCACTCGCGGCTCACAGGCCTGCTGGACCTCTACGTGTCCATCCTGCAGCTCGTCCGCAAGTACAAGAAGCTGAAGGTGGAGAAGGAGGAATTTGTCACACTCAAGGCCATCGCCCTCGCCAACTCAGGTACAGCCAGACCGCTCTTCAGATTTACCCTGCAAAAGAAAACACAGGATTGTATTTTATACAAAAATGCTATTCAAAACTACACATTTAAAAATGAATGTGGAAAAAATAGGTTCTTTAGAGCAATAACAAAGAAGTTTGATTCTCAAAAGATGCTCAATGGATGGTTCTTTAAGGAGTCGTGTTTGTAAATGAGATGTACAAGTGTGAAGTACCTTTTTAAAGCTTCAGTGACCTCCATAAGCTCCTCGAGTTCTTGATTAACCATTTGAGGTGCCAGCATTTAAATACTGTAATCACTAAATGAATGTTTTGTTATGATGCATCATTTGATGAACGATTCGACTGGTCAGTATTGAAATACTGAATATTTGTTATAATTTATCATGGGAAGATGGAGAAAATATACAGACCAACAATTCAATGAAACACCAATTTCATGTGTTCACTGGACTGTAAAATGTGACAGTTTTGCTCATATTTAAATATAATATATATATATATATATATATATATATATATATATATAATACAGTTAGCTATAACAAAACACAACTACGTGAACATGAGCATGTTAGCAAGAATTCATTGTTGAGGATATGACTGAGAAGGAAGCACAGCCGCTTCTGCTGTAGCTTTTTTGTTAACTGATAGATGTTAGTTAGATCCACATACAGTGAAAGTACATTTCTCTGATAAACTTACTGTTGGCACATCATCTGCTGAGGAGAAATAGATGGTGAGTCTCTGTCAGCATCCAGTGCTGTCATTGCTGTACTGGTCATTAGCTCGTCTGAAGAGGCAGCCTCCGTTACTAATCCAACAGGAAAATCTACCCTTTTCTTTTGGCTATTTTTGAGTAATCAGACATATTTTCAAGTGTATTCCTCTGTGTGCTACTCAAACTTAGTGCAACACCAGTGTTATCATCTAAAAGTAAGCTTACTACTTACAGTAATGTTGTCAGACATTCTTTTCTCCTTTTTTGCATTATTTTTCCTTCAACTGATTACAGTTCATTAACTCTTGCAGATACACGAATATGAAAATTAGTCGAAATGTACATCACTAGTCAAGTAGTTGTTATCCTGTGTTACAGCTTTATAAACTATCACGATAAAAACAGCATGTTGACCAAAAACAGCCACAAAATAAAAGGCGCCCTGTATGTTCTTTAATCTGCTTGATCTTGATGCGGGTGCTCTGGATTGATGCAGCTCAGATAAACATGAAGGACACACAGAAAGCGGGAGAGAGCGGGCGGGAGGAGGGCGCGCTGAGCTTTTAATTGAACGCCTTCCGTGTTGTGGCATTCCTCTATTCTCTCTCTCTCTCATTCTCTCTCTCTCTCTATCTATCTCCATAACAGTAGCCACAGGGCCCCTGCAGCCACAGGAGATAAATTTAGCATTTCATTAGGAGCACAGGGGCTGTCAATAAAATGTGTTAAGTCGAATGGAATGAGTATCAGGGAGTGATGGGCCTCGTTTGTTCCGGGGCAGAAGACGAGGGGCCTCTATCGACAGCTTGCTTTTCAGAAGCACGCTCTGTCCCGCTCTGATCAATGTCTGGACAGAGACCCGTCATCTCTCTCTCTCTCTCTCTCTCTTTCTGTCTGTCTCTCTCTCTCTCTCTCTTTCCCTCTCTCTCTCTCTCTCTGTCTTTGTTCGCTGTAAAAATTGAAAAATGCTGAGGGTGGACTTTGCTTTACTTTCAGTTGACAGACCTTTTGGTGGTAGGTGGAGCCGGGACCGGAGGGGTGGGAGAGACAGAGAGAGGAGAGAGCATGTGTGTGAGGGTGGTGTGTGTGTGTGTGTGTGTGTGAAGGCTCTCGTGGGAGCGTCTCTGTCTGACAGCTGTGAAAATTCATAGCGATTGATTTTGTAATTAGCAGTTTATCAATTGGATCGACGGGGGCTCTCTGATGGATTGCAAGGAAATTGTTTCTTCAAAGTTGTTTTTTTTAATGCTCCCCTTACTCACTCTATCTCTTGCACACACACACACACACACTCAAACTCACACTGACTCTTCATCCTCCGTTTCTCTCTCCTTCAGAGATGTGCACACACAGTGGCATACGTGTAAATATAACTGAGATTAAACAATAAAGAATACCAATCATGTAAATATCACCAATCATGTAAAAATAAAACATCTACATTTTTGTCAGTCTAGCGCTGTGACTTAACAGGGTACCAGGTTCAGTTCCCATATGTGAAAGCATAATATCAACTCTTAGAAGTCTTACATTTTAAAGTGCAGGGTTACTACTTTGGTTTTGCTGTGCTATTAAAATGTAATTATTAAAGATGTTCAAAACCAGTTCAAAAATTCATAATGCAGATTATTATAATACAGTGGAGTCTTGATTCATTTTTCCATACAGCAAAAATAAGGAATAGGTGAAAACGTGCCATGTGTTAATATGTTAATGTTTTTGTAAATCGATATTTTATTATATAATTACAATATTTTATACTAATGCACTAGTGATAAGCTAATATGTGCAAGGAGTGTTCTTCTCCACACTGTTCCTAATTTTGAGAAAAAAGTGATATTTTCAGAGGAAGAGCCTCTACACTCATTGTGGGCTTTGCTTGTTTATATTTTAGAGCTGAACACTTTTTGGCAAAAATATCTTATTCGGATTTTTTTTTCAACATTGTGGCTGCAAAAATAAATTGTGATTATTATCATTTTTATGTAAATTAAGATCTAGGCCTGTTAATGTAGCCGAAGAGACCAAAGAATCCTTCTTTTCTGGCTTGAAGCCTGAATGCTGACATTTTGACATTTACTGCCAGATAGTTATGGTTATGTTGTCGTGTACACAGCACATGGGTGTTTAGTTGCTTTCGATTGGTCTAATTTTATGATTGGTCTAATTTAGTTACAGGCAGTTCACAAACTCAATGTTTTTTGGTTAAACTTTCCTCCTTAAAACGGTTGTAGTTTTATAGTAGTTTTATATTTATATGAAGTATACAGTAGTGTTGATTGTAAATTTAAATTTCATGAAATTTAGGATTTGAAAATTACACTTTTGATATAAAAAGGATTCCTCTTTAAGCCAAACTTCATGTAATTTACTTTATTTGCGCCAGTCACTTGAATGCATTGTTTGATACCTGTGTGTTTTAAATTCAGATGCTTGTACTGAAGAGCACAATATAATATGCAGTATTACATTCCTAGTAATTATTCAGTGGCAGATTTAATTACCCAGCACTTTACATTTACGTTTTACATTCTGTCTCGACACGTTAGAATCTGCCCTTTTGTCAAGAATTGACAAAAACATAGCAAACATATAAAGGTTTCTTCTTTCCTGTACACACAGAAATGACCTTTCATCAAAATCAAATCATGCTAAAAGATCTCCTGTCTTCTACTTACAAACACAGATGTGGCATCGATTGAAAGCTTAGAAGCGTCACTTCCAACAAATTTCTCTACTTGATCAAAAAGCCAGTGGTGGGAATATTAATATCAAATTACACCATGCTTTTATTATCACCAGTGATGATGACAACCTCTACGGTTAAGACACCGAATGTTTGAGATTTAACAATACGACAGTAGAAACAGAATAAATCAGCAGTGTGTTTCTTTATCCATCTCTCTGCCTTCACACAGAGTGTTTTTCTCACTTGTTGTCATCACCTTGCTCGCTTGTTGCAAACACAGCCTGCTTCATTCAGCACTGAGGGATCAGACGGGTGTCTCAAGGTCTTGGGAATACAGTTGTTCCAGTAGATGAATTTTAATTTTAGACGAATTCTGAAATCTATTTTTCCTGTTTATTGTCCCGCATGGTGAAATATGCACCAAGGTGAGACAGGCCAGAGCCAATCACACTCCTCATCTAAGGTGTCAGACACGACTTAACAATCACCGCCTCAGACTCTGCCTGTGTGAGAGGTGGTGATGGGGGGAGTTAACCCCATGTCCTCTCAGTATGTATCAGCGTTGAAATACTGTAAAAAGTATTGTACAGAATAGTTAATTATATGACAGAACAGTGGAGAATACAGATTGAAAATAATATTAGTCTAGACTGCTAGAATTATCTAGACACTTATCTTGTAGAGGCAGAATTTGTTGATTAATTTCTGCAGCGTTGACATTTTGTTGGTGAGTATATTGGCTACACTTCATTTGGAGAGAACGCTTTAGATGCTTAAGTACACTCTTAGCAGCAGTAGTTTTATGTAGCACCAAAAATAAAGTTCTATGACTAGTAAAAGTAGCAAAATACAATTTGGTGCAATAAGGGACCATTTTATAGATGGTTCTTTCAAGAGACCATGTACCACAGGTTTTTGGTCATAGAGAAGAACAGTTTAACCATTAAACCAAGTCAGAAGAACCATTTAACCTTATGTGCTTTAAAATGGTTCTTATAGTTGTCATCGTTCTATATACAAACTATTGCTTTTACTAAAGAACTCTTTTAGAACCCCTTTTTAAAGGTGTACATTTTAACTTACATTCAGTTAAATATCTGTCCACCTTAATTTTTCCCTAACCCTTTCAGCATATATAATGAAGGGTTCTCCACGCAGTGCCATAGAAGAACCACTTTTGGTTCCCTAAAGAACTTTAGAGGGTGGTTCTTCAGAGAACCATTTTTGTGAACAAGGTGTGTGAGTCTGAAGAACCTATTAAAGGCTTAAAGAACCTCAACATAATGTAATGGTTCTAGGAAAAGGTCTTAAATTGGTAAAGCACCTTTATATTATGTGCAGCTTTTAAAAGATTCTTCACACTCACAAACCTCTTTTTTAAACCTGGGTCTTTAGGGAACCAGACAAATCACTCAAATTTTCACTAAAGAAAAGTAAAAGTATTTATAAAAAAATTAAATACATCTTTTAATTAAGTATGAGTTTGCTAATGCTAAATATTGCTGATATTACAATGTAATATACTCTTTTTACAGAAATGAACCACAGTGTAATTAGACATGTTGACTTAATGCTTTTATTCCTGTAACGCTGTGTAAGTGGTAAAAAGAAAGTGTTTTCTTTGGATTCAGTTAGTCTTGGCTGAGCTTTTTTGTCTGTATTTTCAATCAGTGTCTCTCAACCACTATTTATCGATTTATTTAGTTAGTTTATTTATTTATTTTTGGATATTGATTTTCCATTCATTTTATCTGGCACACTATTAAAATATCTTATCTACGTCAGTACAGTATTCTAAATGCTAAGGTAATATGGAATCAGTAAAAGGGCTTGTGAAAATTAAAATGCTTTTTGTTTTATTTTACGTACATTACTGACTTTCTGGACTAAGGATGTCTGATGATATCAGATCCAGATTGGTTCCAGAAGATAATTGCTTCTAACAAATTTTGCCATTGCACAGGTGATATATTTGATAATGTATTTATTGTGCTATATTTCTCCATAATACTAATACAGATAAACTTAGCTTCAATTTTCTACATATATTTATAATTTATAAATGTTTATGCAGATATGTACATTGCCATATTGGTGCATCCTTATTCAAGACTACTTATTTTATTTGTTAAATTTGTGACAGCATGTTGTAAGGAGGTTTTATACCAAGGTTATCAATGTGTGTGGAAGATTCCTCTAATCAATACGTGTTGATTCTTATTTCCCCTGTTAGACTCTATGCACATAGAGGACGTGGAGGCAGTTCAGAAGCTGCAGGACGCTCTTCACGAGGCCCTGCAGGACTATGAGAGCGGGCAGCACACGGAGGACCCTCGGCGAGCAGGAAAGCTGCTAATGACCCTGCCCCTGCTCCGGCAGACGGCCACCAAGGCGGTGCAGCACTTCTACAGCATCAAGGTGCAGGGCAAAGTGCCCATGCACAAACTGTTCCTGGAAATGCTAGAGGCCAAGGTCTGAACAGGCCCCGCGCATGGCAGCCACGGTCACATTGCCGCGGCAACAGCGAAAAGGGATGCGTTAGAGACACACTAACTGAGGAGAGGTGCTGAGAGAGACACACTGTTTGACAAGCAGATTATAGACTCGCCTCTCTCCCCTCTCTGTCTTTTCAAACCCGTCCCCCTCTGTCTTTCTCGGACACGAGACATTTTTAAAGAAGACCTGAAAAAAAGAAGAAACGCAATGGAAAAAACTCAAAGTATAAATATAAATGAAGAAAAGTTTAAAATATATAACAAATCCTATGTACTTGTACAGTAATGATTTTTTTGGTTTGTTTTTTTGTTTGTTTATGGTCTGTGCTTATGTATGAAGGAAGAAATCTCTCAATAAGGTGGTCGGACGCTCTTTTTTATTTTCAAAATTTTGAAAACCTAACTCTCTATACATGTCATGATTAAATCTGTAAACCTGTGGAGCATCTCACGTGATGGTTCAGCCCCTGGATGTTACCAGGACTCTGCTTGGACTTGTAAATATTCATTCACAGTGCGATAAAATGAGGTGACTGTACAGGCAAAAGTTGGGGGAAATGACAGCCATGTTGTCTTGCTTTGCTTGACCGGATGGGGGGACACATAATCAGTAAAAAACAAAAAAAAGAAAAAAAAAGGAACATGAGCTCTTTCAGTTTAAACGTCCATGAATATACCTCTTCAGAACAGTGACCCCCTGCGGCATTGATTTATCACACCGCGCATGGGACGACACAACTGGTAAACATGTTTAACCAAACTAGCATAGCCAGGTAGTCAGTTGTCTTACTCTGTAGTAAAATTCAGCAATAAAGGGAGCTGATGGGACAGGCACCGGGGGCCGAACCCCTCTGACTGCTTTTCAATGCTGCTGCCATTAGAACACAATACCCTTTGATATATTACGTGTTGCAAGTGAGTGCATTCCGGCAATAAACGCACCACTTGCCTGTTGCACTGTGGCCCATTTTGTTTTCCTGTTTGTTGTTGTTGTTGGTGTTGTTGTTGTTGTTGCTGATGTTTTCCTCCAACCCGTATTTGGTCGGCGGAGTAAGCTGGTGCTAAATGTTCGCTGGCAGGCTGACGAACAGACCCGATTTGGGCAGAGTGAAAGATGAGTGAGGGATTGGTGGGGGGAGGTCGGCCGGGATTGGAGGTGGATGAGGTGGAGGGGAGGAGGAGGTATCAAAGGATTTATGCCGAGTGGCCGAAGTCCAGGAGATTCCACGTTCAAACAATCAGAGGCCCATATGTCAAAGGAACTATTCTGGGCGCGTTAAGCCGCGGGTAGAGCCGTCCCGCACAGAGGAAGCAAGGTGCCCAGCATCTGCTCGGCCCGTTTTAGAAGTGGCCCGGACTTTTTATAGTCCTGGCACTTTTATAGCAATGTATCCAAATGAAGGTGAACGGCAGGTGCAGGTCTTTCACACCAGCTTTTATTTTTAGGCCTCCAAAGGTGGCGGCAGGCTGAAGAGTAGAGCGCGCACACGCTGAGGGCTCTTGACCTCATGTTGACACAATAGCGCTGACGCATTGATTGCTAAAAAGGGCTTTGAAGCAGGCATCTACATAAACAGCTAATTACCCCCTAAACCCTCCCCACCCAAGGGTTCGCTGCGCAAACAGCCATGGAGGATGACTAGAAAACACCAACATTGCTCCAACATCTCAGCAACTGCTCTAAAATAGAGCTGCCATGTTGTTTTGTTTGACCTTTTGTGGTGCATGACGGGAAACGTAGTTCAGTGCTGTAGATTTCAGTCACCCTTTTCCTCCATTTCAAGAGAGTCTGCTTGGGAAGGGAACGGCTTATACTACTGATGTCATTTTATGTGATGTTGTAAATTGTGGCGCTGTCACAATTTGATACTGTGATCAAAGGAACTGGCATAGTGAAGGGTGATGGTGGCCAGCTCGCTCACTATATCATTGGCCAAAGTGCATCCTGCTGTACACTCATTGGCTACTTAATGGAGGATGGTCATGGGCCTCTCTCCACTAAACTGTCTAAACTTGAAGTGGCCACAGTCCTGTGTATGGAGTGGGCTTAGCCAGGCAGATAAGGACAATGTAATACAGGGCATTTTTCATTCTGTTGTGCATACTACGTGGGTAACAACAGGGACCAATTCTGACTAAAATCATGCCATTACTGTTTGTTTTTTTCTTTCAGAAGATGCAAGAAGAGATTAACACACTGCAAAGGAACTCACTTAAAGGAACACTATAGGATATAGCTTGACCTCTGACCTCACATGCTCTCTCATAGCCCCTACATTTGGAGCAAAAAGAGAGTTGTTGTGGTCTTTTTTGGACTTTTTTATCTGTATGTACCCTCAGTCTTGCATACGTACGTTGAACCAACATGCAACATCCAGTAACTACCTCATCATTCATCCAGACTGTGCAGTCTCAATTTGGACACAGTGCAAATAGTCAAAGAGCACTGGCTGCATGTGTGTTGTGCAGAGATTGTGAGCGATCTTGAACTTTCTGTTGCATTGAGAGGGCAGCACTGTATGTAAGTGCAGGCTGTCAATAAGCACTACTGCCCCCGGCACCTGCACTATTTACACCTACTCCATTATGAACTCTGCAGCGCACTATTCACCATGCCAGTCTCTACATAGATTTCAGTACACACCCTCTCTATCTATCTATCTATCTATCTATCTATCTATCTATCTATCTATCTATCTATCTAAATCCATTCATCTTGCTCAATATGAACTCCCTCCCACTATCACCTGTGCTCTTAATAAACACTGTACTGGTTTACTCCCTCAGTTACTGCTCCACTTTTAAAGGAAAGATGTTTGTATAGAAGCACTGACACCCCTTATGGTCAGTTGATTGTAATACTTCTTACCAAAATGTTCCCCTCGTCCAAACCCTTATGTAATGACACTCAGCATGCAACAGTCAGAATTGGTCCCTACTGTGTTCAAATGTCGAAAATGAAAAGGGATTTTATTTTCTCCTAAAAAAAATATTTATTGTGTGTATTATATCACTTTGGCTGCACTGTACAATAATATCTCTGATTGTTCATTTAACAATTCCTGTGTCACATTTCTTTTTTGTTTTGATGTCAAAAAAATGAGAAAAGGAACAAAGAAAAAGATATACTCCCAACGTACTGCGACTGCTTTTTTTCTTGTGTTTTTTTGACTACACACCAGACACTGCACATAGTGCAACACAAGCGCGGTGATTTGGAAAGGCCCGATGCCCTCAAAGCATCTCTGTGCTCTCCTGGGATGGCTGTAGCACACTGACCGTTCTCTAAAGCAGCCTATACCAAGTCCCCCAGTGTTGAATGAACACCCCCCAATACAGAAACAAGACTACAATCTTAATTTAGGTCCAATTTGACACAAATGAACACTATAAAGGTTAATTCAACACTGCAGATTTTGCTGTGTGGGATGTTCAGAGATGTTATCTATTGGTTATTATGCAAAGGTAGCCTTGTATTCAGGCCAGTTACATATTGCTGCTGTTGGAAAACAAAACCTTGTATCTTCAGAATGATAACTTTACAGGAGAAGGAAAGGACGTACTTTACTTTTAATGTAAGTCTGTGTAACCAGACTTTTTTCCTCATTATTTTGGTCCATTTCTTTTGGTCCATTAATCATGAAATTTACACACGATGTAAAGGGCATCGGGCATTTTCAAATTATGTCATAAACTGGAGATACAAGGTTTTGTTCTGACAGCAGCGATATACAGTGCTGTAAAAGCATTTCCGATAAAAACAGTACTAGAAATACAAGTTTACTAAATTTTAAGGAACAAAACCAGAAAACATATATTTAATGGAAAATTACACAGAAGCCTCAACAACTAACTGTAATATCACATTTTAGTATTTAGTGTGTCCACTCTTCACCTTTGTTACAGCTGCCATTTTTTTCAGGAGACTTGCTTTTGTTAGTCAAAGAAATCTCAAGGATATGTTTTCCACCCCTCCAAAGTTCAGTCTTAGAAGTTGGTTTCACTTTCTGCTAATTATGATTGAAGTAATCCCAAACACATTCAGTGATGTTGGGGACTGGACTCTGGACGTGGTTCGTGATTATTCTGAGAACACCAGAAGCTTCTTTGTTTGATTTGCAATTTTTTTTTGTCATCTCCTTTTTTCAGTAAGTGCTTTTTGACAGCTACGCATCCTTTTAGACTCATAGTGTTAAGTTTCCTTCTCGCAGTGGAAGGATGGACAGAAACACCTGTGGATTTTTCAGATCTGAAGAAAGAGTGGAGCTCAGAAATATCCCTTGAAAAATAAATTACTTTTACTTTTAAATGGTCATTTGGACTAGAAATTAAATAAATGCAGGGTGGTCTCACTTTTGTGCAGTACTGTACATGTTGAGAGATCAGCATCTTTTGTGTATCTTTCGTGTGTGTGTTTGTGTTTCAGACTTTAAGAAATTACTTGACACACATCTGAGGTCCTTCACCGTACAATGAGTGTAAAAGAAAGACTGCTGTCAATGCTTCATTGCCTCTATGGTCAGCAGGCAGTGATGATGGCCTTCAGCTTGTCCACTCAGTTTAGAGCCTCTCTGATTGAGCCCCACTTGCGGAGCAGATTCCTGTTTAAGTGGCGGAAGATCAGAAGCCCGAGTCTCCGGAGACTTCCAGCACAGCACAGCAGCCTGAGAAGCAGGAGAGGCAGCCGGAGTGAGCCAGCAGCACTGCGCTACACGAGCCAGTACATATTTAATCTTAATTTCATATTTTTATTCTACCACATTAGGAGTGTAAGTATTCGCTAATATGGTTGTACAATTTATAATCTCAGTATAAATGTACTTATACAAGGTCCATTTTTGTGTAGAAGACTGTAGAAGAAAATGTGAGATAATATCTGTCTGTGCTGGAGAGATGTGCTTCCATTAAGGCCTGTATAAAATGAAACACTTTCCTGGGATTAGTTAATTCCCCAATCTATATAATTAATATGAGGCAATTTTCTTTTTTGGCATGAAAAAACTTAACAATTAGGTCCCTCCTTATTTGAAATGAGCCTTGCTTTTAAAAACAATTGAACTTCACAGTGCACATTTTCTCATTATTTTACTGGTCATTTAATGAGCAAAGGCCCATCTTTTTGTTCTTCAAAATGAAGCTACATTCACACATAAAATGGACCAACCACAGCTATTTTAGCTTCAAGTTCACTGATACCATTGCAGTACTAAAAGTAGCCTGCATTTTAATGTGATTCATGATGATTCATAGATTTTGAAGTTTTATATATTTATTTAATTGTTAATTTCCAAATGAAATCACATTCAGTAAAGATCAGTTAACACAGTTATGCATCTATCTAATTAAAAAAAAGCAAATATACATCCGGCAAGCAAGTTTCGAGCCATGCTTCGTCTGTAGTTTGTGGTGGGCACTGCTGAGGCGTATGTGGGACGTTTGCAGTTTTAGGGTTTCTCTGTTCCGTCCACAGATTAACATTCATCAGGATGCAGTCTCCATCAGTATGTGTTCAAGGCCTTTATATTTCCTAACTGAGCTCCATTATTCTGAGTGTTGATGATGACCAGGGAAAGAATTGCATGTCAGTGTGAGTGATTGGGTTTGAACTGAGCTGCAGTATACACTTTGCATAAAGCAATGGCTCAAATTACACTTAGGATTGAAAACGGAGCGAGC